TTTTTGTGTAGGTTGTAAGCTTGTGCATTTGGCTGTCTTTCTCATCTTTGTTTAGGTTCTAGTCCACCTTTAATAATTAAAATTTTTTCTTCCCCGGATTTCTATGTTGTTCTAATCTTGTTTGTTTATAATTCATGTTTCGCAATTATATTGTTGCCTTGGTCTTAATATTGTTGTGTATGCTCTTTGTTTTAACTTTGGCGATATATCTTTAATAGAGGTACAGCGTAAAGATCTTGCGCATTTGATAACTTTCCTCTTCTTCCTCTTCTTTAAGTGGAACTCCTATCAAAGATTGTAGTCTTACCAACTTTATTAAATGCTCTTTTAAAAAGTATTCAGCAGTCAGCATTTTCACCTCATGACATATACGATATATTGAAGTGACATATACGATATATTGAAGTTGTTTTTCTTTTTACTGTTGTCATTACCTCACACTTCTTTTTTAATAGTTTAAGAGCCGGTTTATTTCTAATTCTACCCATCCACCATACTTTAAAAGTACAACATTAGCCCCACATCTCAAAGGCTTCAATATTTTATAGTTTTCTTTTTTAAGGTCCATACACCAACACCAACTTATTGCAGTACTCTCTCGTACTCTCTCTTTCCAATGGCCTCACAGCCCAAATCGAATTGGCGACGTGCATGTACTTGGATGTGATACGAGAAACGATCGTGCGCGAGTAGCGGAGAAATCTTGCATTTTTTACTGCAAATTTCATAGATTTTATAAATTCATATTGTCAATTGTCATATTTCATATTCGTTTGTTTATTTACACCTTCTGTCACTAAAGAAAATGGGATTTAGGAAATGCTGTGTTATAAATTGTAAAAATACAACAAAAAATTGTCAATTTAAGTTTTATTCGTTTCCAAATTCGAAGCACAAATTACTACAAAGAAAAAAGTGGATTTATATCATAAAAAAAGCATAAGTAAAATAACCTAAATTATGCATAATTCTTGCACCCGATTTTACAGTCAGTTTGTAATAAATAATAAATAAAAGTTCACTTTTAAGTGTAAATTTTAGTTTCATAACACTTACTTAGAGTTCATTTTAACCCAAAAATCAAGTGTAATGTTTAAATTTTATTTTTTTGAAGTTTACAAAAATGCATCAAGTTTAAGTTTTTCTGAAGATGCATTAAGATATGGTCGCTGTCCAAAAGTTTACAGGGAAAGAATTAATTGTTCAAACCAATATGATGATATCATGGGCTTAACCTGCTAATTTATGGATTAGCATTATTTATGGTAATTTATTTTTCTTAATTCTTCCATTATTTTTTGACATTTGCCACTACTAAAGCTTTTCCATTTTACTCAGTGCTTGGTTGAAAATTTATTTGGTGATTTACTTTCTCAAATCCAGTTTTTATTATTGCATCCATATTAACAGTAATGTTGTAATTTAATAATATATTTATTTGTATTTACACTACGTTTACCTTTTAATAACATATCGACATAACCTCAATCTTACTGTTTCTTCTTATTCTTGTTTGGGGCTACGTCCTTGACAGTTATTCGGTAACCTCGATCTAACATGAAAACGTAGTAAATTTTGCTGATTTACGACACCAGGTGTCGCTGTTTCGAACTTGCACGGTCCCAATACTGGCCTCCTCCAAACTATGCCTCCGTCCTAGCCGGTCTCGCGCCGATCTTCTCTAGTTTCTTACGTCCAGAACATTTTGCGCGCTCGATGACACTTTATCCTCCTACCTTTCCGTGGGATTCCTTTTAATCTTGAGCCCTGCATTTTACTAGATAGATCTCTTATTAGTAATCTTCAGGTCTCCATTCTCACTACATGACTAGCCCATCGAACTCTCTGAAGCTGGACCTGAATCTCCATACTACGTTTTCGTTGAGAGGACCAAATATTTTCCTTAAGACTTTTCTTTAAAATAGTACGCTTGTTTAATCTGCAAAGATTTGATTGCAGTTCTTCTTTTTCTCTGATTTGATTTGTGAGACGACATATTTTCAAATGAAATATTTCTCCCCTTATTGAAGTAATTTGCCTGAATGTCTTTATTTCATCCAACCTTTCTACTGCTATCTAATGCATCCACTACACATCAGCACAAGCTGACCACACATCTGGACATATGTGTAAATCGTTCAGTCTGTGTTAATTCCCGGGAGACGCAATATCTACGCGAGCATTAAAAAATGGAAAGGCGTCACACGTCTGTACCCAAACCCTTTGATCTGTGCTAAAAAAAAACGACAAAAATCGGATATCTTGCAGACGCATCCGCGGGCGTGATATATAAACAACAGATGATCAAATTAGCCCATCTACACATCTCCAGAGGCATACGTAGATATCGTAGGCGGGCGCGTCTGCCGATGTGTAGAGGAGCCATAAGCTATAGCTGACTGTTAGTTTCTTGATCATTATTTAAGCCGCCTGTTAAAACGGCCGGAACTGACCGGTTATATGTTCTTTTACAAGTTGTATTCGTAGTTCTAAATATTTTTATTCCTTTTTTCTCGGAAGTTGTCTCGCTTGTGCCCTAATTCTATTGTATCCTTTCCTATTCTTTCCTATTCTTCCAATTCTCCTGGTTATGGTGGCGGTGAAAACAGAGTTAGAGCAGAGGGTGCTCGGAATCAGCGGAAGAAATCAGGCCACCATAACAAACATCAAAAGCATATATGTACCTATAACATACAAACTCTTAATATTGTTCTGAAGCTATTTTCTTGTGGCATTGTAAATTAATTACTATTTAACTGGGAATAAGCCACAATTAAAGATAAAAATACGTTTATTGACGTTTCAATTTCCACTTCGGAAATGGTTCTCAAAATACAAAAGATTTTGAGAACGATTTCCGAAGTGGAAATTGAAACGTCAATAAACGTATTTTTATCTTTAATTGTGGCTTATTCCCAGTTAAATAGTAATTAATATACAAACTCTGTTAACAGAAGCAAATTGATAGAACTGGTGGATGATCTAAAACAGCTAAAATATAGTCGGTATAAGCAAATTTAGGCTAATAGTACTTAAGTCTTAATATATAATAATACTTACTTACTCTTAATATATAATAATACTTAAGTCTGGAAATATGGTTAATTTCAGAGAAAATGAAGGGTCATCTGTCGAAGGATTTGTTTGTTTAATACAAAAAAAAATGGATACAGAAAAGAAGACCAAGAGACTTAACGAAGCAGAGGTCTTTCACCAACACGTTGGACTGACAATCTGAGATGTTACCATAGGAATTGGATGCAAAAGGCGCAAGATCGAAAAAGATGGAAAATTATGAAGGAGATCTATATTTAGCAGTGGACAAGCGAATATTGTATGAACATCTGTTATTTTTACCTTCTGAAGTTTTCTAACTACGTATTCCAGTGGTAAATTAAACAATGTTGTAGCCAGCTGATTACCCTGTTTTAATTCTTGATATTAAAAATGGGTCCGTCATCCCATCTAGTATCTGTATCTGAGCCACAGTATTTGTCATCGTCATTTGGAGTAATTGGGACGGTATTTCAAATTCAGTTAATATTTTGTATAAGTGTGCCCTGTTTATTGAGTCATATGCTAGTTTAAAGTCTACTAAAATATTATAGACATATATGGCATATTACCAAGCTTTGCTTAAGACCTGCTTAACCATAACTTGTTCATCATGATTATCATTCAGCCTTCATTTATCACGGCCTTCCTTAAACATCTCCATTTTTTGCGATTTTGTGCTCTTCTTTGCCAATTTTTGGTGATACATCTGATGTCGTCAGCCCAACATATAGTTCTGTAATTCCTCTACTACGTCTGTCTGCTCTTGGCCTCCAATGTGTATTTATGCTCGTCCATCGTGAGTCATGCATTCTCGCTACATGGCCTGCGTCGTTCTACGCAGATCTTTGTTTTTTATTCGGTGTCGTAACGTCACTTTCAGCATAGACCGTTTCATTCGTCTGTGCCACTTTCAATTTTGAAGTCGTAGTCTTGGTTAGAGTCATATTTTCCACCCCATATATCATGACTGGTAAAACGCATTGGTCAAATACTTTTTCTTTTGAGGCTAATTGGTATGTTAGCTCTAAGTGTGTCTCGCAGTTTTTCAAAGGATGCCCACGCTAAAGTAATTTGTCTTTGAATTTCGCATGTTTGGTTATCATTGTTGATTCTTATGTCATGGCCCAAGTAAGTAATCATATTTCTCCACCTGTTCTATCACTTTGTTTTGAATAAGTAAATGGATATTGAGCACCATATTTGTCATAACCTTAGTTTTGTTCATTTAACTTATTTGTGGCTTCTCCTAAATTATCTGTAATAAGGACAATGTTATCTGTGAAACGGAGATGGTTAAGTTTTTCACCATCTATTGTTACTCTGCTGTGGTCTTAATTGACCATCTTAAAGGCATACTCTAATACCGTTATGAATAATTTCGGTGAAAATATATCTCCTTGCCTTATCACACATTTTATTTTTTATTGTTCGTGTTTTATCGTGTATCTTAACAGTCATAGTATCATTTTTGTAAATATTGTAAAAAAGTTCACTATGCCTATGGTCAACACTGCTGTCATTCATTGCTTTTATAAGGCTGTCTATTGCGATCGTGTCGAAAGCTTTATGAAAATCTATAAAAGTGAGGAAGAGGTTTTTTGTATTCCATAGATTTTCAATGAGTGTCTTTACTGTATGGAGGTGATCATTGGTACCATAATTTGATTGGAATCCCGCCTGCTGTCTCGATTGGTAGAAATCGAATTTCTTCTTCAATCTTAATATCACTAATCTAGTGAAGAGGTTGTATATGTGGTTTAACAGGCTAATAGGTCTATAATTTTCTAGATCCACTCTTACTCCTTGTTATGCAAAAGGATATTTATATAGTTATATATAGTTTATTTAACTATTTTTTTTTTATTTAGACCACAGCTTATCAGGGTCTTCTCTCTTCTCCACTTACCCTAGTTATTTTCTTAAGTTCATGACAGTTTTGATTAATGTGGCAGAATAGGTTTAGGTTTGTACCCTTGTTTTATTTGTTTGAGAAATTTATATTCATTTCGTGTTTTTTCTTTTCTAGTTTTATTTCCATGTCCATTCATTGTTTGTTTATATGTTTTCTCTTTTTTTTTGTCTACACAGTGTATCAACTATTTGTCTTTTGTTTTTAAATACCATTTTTTCTCTTGTTCGTCTAGACAAATATATTCTGTTTGCTTCATTTCGGTCTTTAATCAAACTACATATTGAAAAAACAAAGAGCCACTCACAAAATATCTTTCTATAATCTAAAATGCATAAAGATCGCTCAATATTAACAATATAAAGGATCGCTCAATATAAAGGATAACATTACAGTATGATATTATAGAGAAACTGAAAAATCAAATACTAAATTCACAGGACACACTATTCGATAAATTGATGCGAAACAAAATACGATGTTTTGACGACAACGAAATTTTACGGAACATTCAAAAACAGATGCAGAAATGTCCAGTCAAGTTATTTGCATGCCCGTATGTAAAGTGACTGGTACCTATTTAAGGTTAAACTTGCATCCAAAGGACTACTATTAGACTTTTAGGGCTGTTGAGCAAAATTCGGCACAAGTCGTAAAAGAACACCAGTATTCCTTGGATCGATGGAAAATTGAGATAGACCTTGATTTAATACATAAAATAAATTTCTTCTTCTTTTTCTTCTTAAATGCTTATGCTCTATTGGATGTTGGTTATCACAAATTACTCTATCTCTACTCTCGCTCTAAATACACCCATTGACGGTATTCATGTCTATGTACATAGGTTCCGCAGCCACGAAAATAAAATTAGATTTATATAAATTTGACTGAAAGTGATTACATTTCATACCTAAAATAATTTTATTACATTGTAATTTACATGGATTTTTATTTATTTTTCATTGGTTGTTTGTTTCAGTCATGTCAACAAAACTACTACATACGAATCTCCATGTGTCAGAAACCCGGATCCACCGCCCAAACCAGAACCCAGAGCAGTTACTTTGGAGCGATCACCATCACTGGGTTTTGGGTTTGTAGCAGGCTCAGAAAAACCTGTCATTGTAAGGTTCGTTACCGAAGGAGGACCAAGTGTTGATAAGGTTAGTGTAGCTGTAGATTTTTATAAAAAGGGTCATGTAACAGCTGTATAAATCTGTACATTTTTTATGCCCATCTCTACTCTTGTTAAAACTTTCAAACGGAATAATTCAATTTTTTCTTTTCTTTATAACATAAAGATAAAATCGGTAAGTATTAAGATTATTTAAAACGTAGTTAAAAAAGATCAAAACAAATGTGGATGCTTTAAAATCAAATTTACTGCGAAAAAGGTCTTGAGAAAAGTTGACGGAATTTTTCGGGACGATTTTTATAAGTATTATTAAGTAAAGGAAAATGTTTATGTTCTAGAAATTATTCTTAAATTTTAAAAGTTCTAATACATCGTTTAAATGATATGTTTACATGATATATTTAAAAGATTTTTTACACAAAAAAAAATTAGCATTGATACTGTTTAATATAAATTTTAGTTGAGAGTTAAGATGGATGCACCTTTCAATAAAGTGGTATAAGTTATATATCCTCTGCACCTCCACCTAATATGTTTGAACTCTAGAATGTCAATAGTTTTGGAGTAATTGACAAGCTTTCTACTTGACATTTTCTTTATGTCCAAGGGTGTAAAACTACCTAAATTAAACCCATTCTAAAACAACACCTCATTCTGTGGATGACTTTTCAAACCATATGGATGAGCTCCTCCGGTCTTTCAGCCACGAGTTGTGGCGTCTTCCAACTGATCTTTTGCCCTGAACTTTAACTTCCAATATGATTTATATATATATATATATATATATATATATATATATATATATATATTTCATATCTTTCCCCAATCAACACATAACCCAAGTATTGTATTTTTCTCTCTTGGATTAGGCTGAGTAATTCTTTTTGTTTACTCATGCGCCGAAGTACCTCACCCTTGCTAACTTTTTGTATCCATGGAATTCTCATCATCCGTCTGTGTATATACATTTTAAAGACTATAGCTATAGTAAGCTATACAGCAAAACAGAGAAAACGTAACATCTGATCGTTCGAATTCTGAGCCCTAGACTAAAGTCTGATCCTGTAAAAAAATTTTTCAGGTTCATGAGTGTTTTTCTCGCTTGTTCGTTTCTTGATAGAATTTCTTTTTTTGGATTAGACTGGCTGTTGATATTTGCTCCCAAATTTTATGGAAGTTTCCTGTTCTTTTATTTTTCCCTAGACATACAAATGTAAGTTTGTTGGTATCTTTGAAAATACTAGAATTTTAGTTTAAAAAACATTTAGATGTAAACCAAACATTTCGCTATGACGAACTACCTCATTTATTATATTTTATAGTTCTTGTGCGTTGCTTGCTATTAGGACGGTATCATCAGCGTACCTGATGTTGTGTATACTGGTTCCGTTAATTTTGATTTTACCTTGAATCTCGTTTACTGCTGAATATATACTCTCGTTTCTGAATATAAATTCCGAATACAGATTAAATAATAGTGGTGATAAGATGCAACCTTGTTGCACTCCTCGTCGAATTCGTATAATTTCGAATGTTGTGTGCTTTAATTCAATTGTTGCCGTTTAGTGCCAATATGGTTTTGAGATAATTCGCAAGTCTTGTTTGTCAATTCCATTTTTTCTTAGAATTTCTGAGAATAACATATTCATATACATCTACATTCATGTCTCTGCATCGTTGTGTTAACACATTTAAGGCAAAAAGAGCTTCTCGTGTTCCCAGTCCATTTCAAAATCTGAATTGAGTGTCACTCATCTGAAATACACACTTCTTGTAAATTCATGTATGAATGATTCTGAGAGAAGTTTTAAGGACATGATACATCATGCTTAATACTCGATAGTCATCGCAGTGTGAGGCGTTGGATTTTTTTGGTAATGTGACGAATGTTGATTTTAGTCAGTCTTATGGTATTCTTTGTACTAGTCAATGAATATTCACAAACTCAGGTGGGATCTTTCTCTTATTTTTTCTCATTGTACCTATTATTGTTATCTGGTAAAATTTAGAAGTTTACTTGCCACATTTACGGCGGTAAAAAAATTTTCCATGGTAACATTATGTTTTGTAAATCTTAAAGGTTGGTACAAACGAGGAAGCAACGACGTATACTTCCATCGACTAGATATATATTTGCGTCTACAAAAACATATACTTGTATGCCATATGCCGTATTTTTTGGGTATGTAAACCCGAAACCCACATCTGACACGAATCCTGACAACATTTCGTTTACCGTTGTAAATGGGACATTAAATAATACTTTGGTAGCTGGTAGCTTTGGTCTTCTCCAGTAGTTTTATCGTCAAAGTGCAAATTTCTTTATAAAAACATAAACTTTTCTAGATATATTATCAATATGTATATTTCCATTGACACACCATTGGATCTAAAAAGATTATCAGTACAAAAACTATATGGTCTCTGGGCCTCGGACCCTTAAAGATCATATGTCGAGTCTTTCTATCCACGTTTTTAATTTGTAAAGAGCTCGGTTCGCTCCATGCACGATTGACCAGCTTTTGTTTAGCTACACCAGCACCACCAGGTCATCCGCATACGCCGCTGTCTATACACCAATGCCCAGGTCGGCCTTTAAAATCTCGTTGTATAGAATATTCCAAAGCAATAGCCCCGGGATGGAGCCCTGCTACAATTCCGCCGTGGTTTTCATAGAGTTACCCTCCTTGCAACATTGATGCACCTATCTGTAAAGTACATTCTAACTAAATTCTATAAATCAGAAAGAATTCTGTAGAAACAAAGTCACCATCCATCTGCTCCTATATGGCGTCCATCGCAGATTTTCCTTTCCTAAACCCATATTGACGGTCGGATAACCTCTCTTCGGCATTGTCGTCACAAGAATCCCAAAAACATTGCCTAAGATATTTAACAGGCATGTAGTTTATAATGTTTGGTTGTAGTAAATTTTGGTAAGATTTATCTCACATAGGAAAAGTTTTTTGACGAAAAAGAAGAATTAGTTCGAGAATATTCAAGATGACATCTTCAAGATGACAAACGTCTAGTGAAGTTTGGAATGTCAGAAAAAATATATAAACAGATATTTTGTACATTTAATAACACTTGTATTTTGAGTTGTGAAGTTTATATTATGTCAGTCAGTTAAAGTATTGTAATATACACTGGGGTGCAAAATTAACCGGGCACTCAAAATTTTTGTTGTTGTTTAGATAAAAACTTCTTTAATTTGTTTGAATTGTATTTATGCCTTATTAGCGATAACGTTTTTTTCTTGTTTGAACCCGTTTACATCTCTTCTGTGAACAACACTTTTACGAATATATTTTGTTATTAAAGTGAAATAGTGGCTTAATATTCCTTTATGTTTATTGTGGTACTACACCTTATATAAGTTTGGTTGTAGGTTTTTGTATTATCTCCTGTTTAAAACTTGCATTAAAAACTTGAAGCACCAAAGGAAGTAGCACAAACTGTTGCTTAACAGGATGATGTGCAGAGCATTCGTTACATCGCAAATGCTTTAAGACTTTCTCGAAGTACAGTATTTGATGCAATACAAAGATTTCGGGAAAAAGGACACTACACCAGTAGGCTAGGTCAAGGTAGACGAAGTCAAGTTGAATATCGCTTTCTTGGGTTACAAGCGTTACGTGCTCGTACATTATTAGTACCAGTACTTGTTCAACGATTAAATGATGTCCATAGAAACACAGTTTCCATTTATACCGCTTGAGTAAATATGGATTAAGGTCCAGAATACGTGTCACGGGACTTTTATTAACAGCAGATTATCGGAGCAACGTTTACAATTTGCTCGAGAACATCTTAATTATTATGGTATCGATGATTGGAGTGCTGTGCTTTTCATGGATAAATCAAAGACGGCCTAGGGTATGGAGAAGAGGTGGTGACCGTTAGCAGCAATGTTGTTTTACTTCGAGAGTTCAATTTGGTCGAGGTGGTATAATGGTGTGGGCACGTGGGCAGGTATTTCCCTAAAAGTTTATACAAAACTTGTTACAATTCAAGGGGGTTATATAAACGCTTAACGGTATGTTCAGCAATGTTTGGAAGATTATGTAGTTTTATTTGTCCTATTCGTTAGAGAAATCTTTCGTCTGGTGCAAGATAATGCTCGTCCTCACATCGAAAGAATAACACGGGATTACTTGGATGAAGTTGGAATTCGTGTATTACCATGGCCCCGAAGGAATGTAGACTTAAATCCAATAGATCATGCATGGATATTCTGGGACGATCTATTTGACGTAAACATGGTAAAAACCATGAAGGAATTGGAGCAAACACTTCGTGACTAATGGGAGCAAATACCTTAAGCAGACTTTGCTGCCTTAATCCGAAGTATCCCTGATTAAACCAGAGTCTCGTGGAGGTAATATACTTTACTAAATATCATTTTTAATAAGAAATGTTTATATTTAAAACTATGTAACATTCTTGAGTTGTAATAAATTTGACTTTTAACTTTTGTTTTTATTAAATACTTAACATGGATTGGGAACATCTCAAACTTTGTTAAACGACAGTTTTAGGAAAAATCTGAGTGTCCGGGTATTTTGCACCCCAGTGTAGTTGGTGTTCAACAAAGTTTTTCCAAAGATATGATATTGATAATCTAAAACGTTTTATTAGGTAGTTTTATAAGCACTTAAATAAACACTTATTGAATTTACCATTATTTCCTTTATACGATTATATAAATACTTTTTTAAATAATTGATGGATTCGACCGTAACTTGATGCAAATTCATTTTATGTAACAATAAAACACTGAAAACTTTCTTTTTAAACTTCCACAAAATTTATTTTAATTTATCACTACAGCTGTTTCGGCTGATTGCCTTTCTTAAGTGATCTATTTTTAGCATGCGTTTACATTTTATAGTCTCTAATGAAATAGATTGAGAAGGGGAGAACTGTTTGTCTCAAGTTGGTCATTCAGAATTATATCTGCGTTTTTTGATTTGTTGATTTCCATAGATTCTAACAATGATAGCTTAATGACTTTATTTTGAATGTGTGGAATTTTAAATTCGTCATTAAAAGAATGATTGTGATGTAGAAGGTGAA